CGCTGTGTAGTCTGGTCGATGTTAACCATCGTTTCAGAGGTCATACTGCCTCCATCATCAGAGTATGAAGATTTCTGTCTTCTGGGTTATTGCGCTGTGTAGTCTGGTCGATGTTAACCATCGTTTCAGAGGTCATACTGCCTCCATCATCAGAGTATGAAGATTTCTGTCTTCTGGGTTATTGCGCTGTGTAGTCTGGTCGATGTTAACCATCGTTTCAGAGGTCATACTGCCTCCATCATCAGAGTATGAAGATTTCTGTCTTCTGGGTTATTGCGCTGTGTAGTCTGGTCGATGTTAACCATCGTTTCAGAGGTCATACTGCCTCCATCATCAGAGTATGAAGATTTCTGTCTTCTGGGTTATTGCGCTGTGTAGTCTGGTCGATGTTAACCATCGTTTCAGAGGTCATACTGCCTCCTTCATCAGGGCAATGAATATGCCAATAGGGTGTGAGGTGCTAGGTTTATAGGCCGAAAAGTGAAAGGTGTAGCCTGCCCCGAGCCAATGGGATTACTGATGCACATCTGCGGTTTCGGAAAAACCTCGCCTGATATATTAGGACTATTAAATAAAGATGCATAACATGGGAGAGACATGTAAAACCTTCGGGTAATGAGAGATTATCACAAATTATTACAAGATTTAAAAAGAAATTATCCCGGAATTTTACACAATGAAAAACGTGGTGTGGATTGGAGTCTTCTATTTGAATATTTCTTAGAGTAACACGATATGGATATTAAAATTTCAAAACTCGGGTAAAATTTATGCTATCATAACCTGCATTGTTCTTGGTTTACGTAACTGTGAAAAAAGCAGGCAAATTCTTGACAATTCTAATAATTATCAAGTTCACAGCAAAGAACTTGTGCTGTGGAGATGTTTTTTAGTGTTAAGTTCTTTACGCTATGTTCTTTGATGCATTTTGTTTTTCCTTGGGCGGTTAAATCTGATCACATGATCAGAATTTCTATGTTAATTATGAACTCAAATATCATAGTCGTCACCGCAGAAACCACTTTTTGGACTCTGAGTTTAGAACAATAATAACAACAATGAAGTATTAAGTTATTTCGAATTCTGTATGACAACTCCATTGTTGATTATTCAAAACAGAATGTTTCGGTAAGACCTTGAAGAATTGTGGTGGCGCCATTTTGTTCGCTGGTGAATGGCTTATTCAACGTGGTTTTGACACCATAGGTCCAGTCTTAGGTTGTGCAGCGTTCGTTCTGAAAGAGCTGTAAACCCCATTATCCTTCTAAGTCTACTCAAGATGGGTCTGGACCTAACACTAACATCTTGAAGGATTCTAACGCCGGAAGTGATGATATATCGATAAGCATGACCCATAATTTTGTGGCCTTTCCCTTCTAATATTACATCGAGATTATTACGTACACATGTCAGATTCGATACGCTTTAATTAAACTCTACGGTAATCGAATTAGGATTTCTGAATCTATGGAGTGTGTAACAATATCACATTAAGTATAGACATGACCAATTATTTCGTAAGTCCACCATCTAGCAGTTTAATAGGTGGGAAAATCGTTCAAGACTATTTGTTCATGTGTTGATACATATGAAACTATTCAACGGATATGGATTAAATTTGGTATCTGAGACTTTCGCTGAAAGATGTTTATGCAGGTAACTCTTTATACGCGTTTAAAACGGGGAAACCTCAAATTCAGTGCACGTTTTAAACGACGTGTCTTTACAAAACATGTTTAAGATATAATATAAATGGCGTACCAGGAATAACACTGTGAAACTAATATATATTTTTATGAAAGTGTTTTAAATAAATATAATTAAATTTAAAATATTTATTTTCATTTTACTTTTGAGGTATCCCATAATTTTAGGCGATGGATATTGCTAATTTGCCTTCAAGATAAACCGACGTAAAGTCAGAAATCTTTGCAGTAACCTGACGACAACTGGACATCAGATATCATGATAATTCTACAACAAGACCTGCGCTTTTGCTAGTTTACAAAATCTCAGACGTCACGAAAGACACTTAAGTATGCTGATTTTATTTTGTTGCGTTATGTAAAGTAGAAGGGCACCCTGACTGCTCAGGGACCATCTGCAGACGGACGTAGGGCCCCTGGCATCAGCCACAGCTTTCCTGTATCAATAAAAACGTAAATTCGATTTGCATGTCCAGAAACTATCATTTGGTGTTTTATTCATTGTCCCCGAGTAAAAGCTCAGTTCAGATTTAGCAACAAATAAATAATTGCTGTTATTTGTGGTTACCCGTATAATCAACCAATCAACCCTTTACATGTGACTGCCGTGGTAAATCAAGAGTCAGCGCCTAGATTCTTGTCACATTTTTGATAGGATGATAGATCCTTGGGGTACACCGGAAGACGTGCGTGTGTTCTGTGCAGCATTCCTAAAGTTTAGTACGAAAACTTGTTAATTTTAAATTGGACACTGTTCATTTCTTGCAAATATCGTAGAAGATAAGCTCTATAATTTGTGTTGCTAAATACTATTAACTAAGAAGCTGAGAATCGCTCAAGTAACCAAGAAGTCCTCCGCCTTTTATGGAACCCCAATTCAGTTGTCAGTAATCATATGATTATCATTCGACGCTGTGTAATCAGAGCTTTGGCAGTATACATAATGCCAAAACCCATAATTGGGCACAATCGTGGTCGAGCTCAATACATCTCTCTTCAAAACCTTCCTTAATTTATTCTTCCATCACTTTCTCTATCATGTAAGTGGGCATTTTCCAAGAGGATTACCTTTAAAATTTTCCATGCATTTCTTGTTTTCCATGATAGCCACTTACCCATCCCATTACAGCCTCGTGGATTTCACTGTCCAAAAAATACTCCGAAGTTCTGGTTGTTTTAAAATAATTGATTATATATAGTTATATAAAAGAAATGATTTATATTTTTGCCTGGTTATTTCATATTCTCTGGGTGAGATTTCAGACTCTCCGGTCGGCGAGGGTGAAGACGGCTGTCTTCTGAGATTTTGCGTCATCAGTTAGTCTGATAGAGGTTTAGGGACTTTCCGAAGTCCTTGCTGTCTCCACCATCAAGGAAGCAAGGACTTCTGGTATGCCAATAAAACAACATGGAGCAACATCCCAGAAGACAATCATCTCTTCTGTCTAGTTTTACACAAGTACTCAATCATCATAATAACCTCTTCAGTCCACTCACTACAGGTAGTTTCAGGAGTCATTGCGTCTTGTTGAAGGGATCTCATCTTCACTTCATCTTGTGAGAAAGGATGTCCTCACAGATGCCCCTTTCAGCTTCGGTAGGAGATTACGTTGGGTGCAGGAAACTCTGGGCTGTATTGCGGGTTGTCTAAGACAGTGTTACGACAGCTGAGAACCTCTGCGGTCGGCCGGAAGTCGGGAAGAAGTTTCACCAAGACAGTGTCACACAGAATTGTTTTATGGGAGGCCATGGGAATCGATGGTTTTGTTGGCTGTCGCCTGCTGAGATACGCGCAGTTTCTCCTTGATCAGTTCGCAATCGAGACTTGGGTTAGCCTCGTCGTCTGCTGATCGTAGACCCCACCCCC